TCGGCAGCACACAATCATCGCTGCACTTTCCAGATTGCGAGCATTCGCGATGGGATAAATTTTACGCAGGCAGGCAAGGAAACGCCGAGATTAATCTAATGAAAGTCCCGGCCTCCAGGAGTGAGAGCCGGGAGGTTGCAACAACGTTAGCTTAGCGCCAACTTTGGTTAAGTAAATTTTCTTTCTTCGTCTGTATCATGGGCGAGACTATAATCTACGAAGGAAACAGCAGCGGGAGAGACTCGCTAATCCCGGCTTACTCGACCCTAACTGTTGGTACAGCAAAGGACTTAGCCCGCCTGATAAATCGTAAGCGGTGCGAATATGTTCCTCGCAGGGTGAGACGCTCAAAGATGCATCAATGGCGGGCGAGTGGGAAAATAACGCGCGCGCGTCAGGCAACGTTGGTACAACCGGGTGGATCGCGAGTGGTAAATGGTACACATCCTCGCGTGCATTCCGCGTTGGAAATGCGATCGAGTGCGAGGCAGGCGTGCCTGGGCGCGCGCGTCACGTTTTTAAGGAACGAGGAAAATACGGAGCGACGCGTTACAACTCGCGAAACGTGTCGAGGAAAGGGGACACCGCGCCGGCATTTTCAATTCTCGCCCCTCGGCGCGCCGTACGATGCACTTTGCGGAAAAACGGAGCGCACGTTCGAGGGTACGACGCCTATGATTTACGCGCGATAACGATGACCGGTGCCATTTACACCCCGCTGGCGGGTAATCCGGTCCGGGAGACCGCAGCACGATCCGAGCACGAGAGGTGGTGCAGCTGCAGCCGCATCTCGCTGTAATGCAATGGATAACGGCTCCGAAGCCGGACATGCTGCCCGCATATTTCGCCGGCCCCGTCGACCCGTAAGACGTTTGCGCACTTGGAAGTGTGCAACCGCGACCACCGTGACAAAGGAGTACCGCTGCCCACGTGACCGGCAGGATCAGCGGAGCGGAAAGGGACCGCGGATTTCGCGAGCAGGGTTTCATTTCAACGCAGACTTACACGCAAGATACACGTCTCGGTTGGAAATATTTTTCGTTTAACGCTTAACCCGTCATGCCTGCCAATCGATGAGCCGCTATGCGCCGAGAATGGGTGGTGGAATTTTTTTAATTGCAGCTGCGGAAAAAGCGCGATTACAGCGGCGAGTCAACATCCCACGAGTGTTATCGCGAACCGAACTGGGATCAATAAATATACATAAACACACATACACGCACAAACACACATATCCATACATATACGGGGTGTTCCAGGAGGAGAGGTCAATATTCTGGGAGGTAATAGTATCGGTCATTTTAAGCTAAAACGTTCGTATGAGTATATGTCCCATTCCCCACTGTTTCCGAGATAGAGCTATTTGAATGTACAATTGCAAAATTACTTTGCAAATGCCGTTTACTTTAGATGATCGTACTACAGGACAAAATGACGTGGAATTTCTGCTAAATGCATCACCAGAACAACTAGAAGACGTTCCTTTGGCTACGGCGTGTTATGTATTTTCAGCATGACAGAGTTCCTCCTCATTAAACCCGATTTGCGACGCAACACCTCAACGTCACGTTCCCTAATCGGTGGACTGGCCGTGGCAGCGCCATCAATTGGCCACCAAGATCTCTAGACCTAACCCCATTGGATTTTTGTTTTGGATGAAGAGTAGTGAACCCAGGTAGCCAGCTGACGTCACTTGTCGCCATTTTGACGTCGAAATGTCGTCCGAAATGTCATTTTCATGTCAAAATGACGACAAGTGACGTGTATAGAAGAAAAGTGAATACACGATGAGACGTTCGAGTAGCTCTACCTCGGAAACAGTGGGGAATGGGACGTATATTCGTATCAACATTTTTGCTTAAAATGACCGATACTATCACCTCCTAGAATATTGACGTTTCCTCCTGAAACACCGTGTACCGATTTTCCGACGAGAGATGTGGAATAGATTGATGACGAGACGATTGCATTTGGAATAGTGAAGGAGATCAACGGGCGATTATTATCGGAGGATTTGGGGCAACATAGAACACCAAGCGAAAGACGCGCACCGACACGACGACCGAGTAGACGCCTGGAATTATTGCATATTAGAAGAGGACAGTAACTTCCCTGCTAATTTGCCTTGAGCCCATTAACATTTATTGTCAACAAGGGTAAGAGTTTGGAGTTCCCTTGAAAGTTTCACTTCCATCTATTCGCATTAATCAAATAACTGACGATGGGCAAGTTCGATTTATTACATAATTAACAGCAGCGAAATTAGATATTTCTTGAAATGTGACAAACGCGAGAACTTGGCGAAAAGTGTCCCGTCTTGCTGAGGATAATTGAATTTCGTTAATTAAAGAAGCGCGTAACCGCGGAAATGAACGTATAGATTCGCGTTTCGCAAGCTAAGCGTGTTTACGACGCCCATAAGAGGATACGGAAATGAATATTCATGAAAATCGTTCGTCGGAGAAGCAGCAATTGTGGCTCGCTACGAACGCTTCCCTTCTATTTCACTTAACGATCCGCCTTCCTGCACGGCTTCTCCGTCCAGCACAGTTTAGCTCCTCAAGAATTAACTACGTCAATCAGAAACGTTCGACCGTAAGTTTAAGTAATAAATAATAAAAGCGCACTGTGTGTGTGTGCGTTTACGTGCGCGCGCAGAGTAGCAAAAGGAAACGCATACGTTCGAACGGTGTCCCCGCACATAGATACGAAAATTTCGTCCAAAATTATCAAACAAGAGAAAATTGGCATAAAGTGTATTCAATTTTTCTTGCAATTTCTTTCTATCTACAAAATAATTCGGCGTGTGTCGATAGCGACAGATGCAAGTGAATATTCATGTTTACACATGCGAGAAATACATATACAGGGTGT